CAGAGTGACCACCAGCACAGGGTCCCTGGGCTGAATGACGGGGCGGGAGGACAGGTGCTGGGATCTCCTCCCACAGATGCTGGGCTGCAGTGGGGAAACCACGGCCAGATGTGAGCTTCTGGCTGCACTGCCTGGAGACGGCTCAGGGGGACAGGCAGCGGCCTGGGGAGAGGAGGGGACTGCTTGGAGCCTACGTCACAGTGGGCAGAGGCAGGGCTCGTTGAGTGTCACATCTGCACAGAGGGTGAGATGTGAGGCAAGGGTGTGTCTAGGGCGAAGCTCGAGTTTAGATTTCAGGGACTTGGTAGATGGGCAGCTCCAGAAACCAGCAGGGCTTAGGGATAGAGGGCAGGATCAACTCAGCAATATGGGTGGCCAGTGGACGTTGGTGGGCTGGGGCCACGTGCTCTGAATCCAAAGCAAACTAGAGGCAGGTTAGAGCCACTGAGGGGGTCAGAGGACCAGGAGAAGACGCAGCCTGGAGAACACCAGCCTGGGACAGCGGGGACGGGCTGGAGGTGGGAAGTCACGGGAAGAGAACAGGCCCCTGGGCAGGCACCACAGGCCAGGCCGGAAGGGCCAGGTCCCTAGGATGTGGCCAGAGGCCAAGGAGACGGCGCCTTCACTGAGCCCAGGAGTGAGCAGGGGGCGCAGAGCACAACCATCCTTTCTGCAACCTGAGTAAGAAAGAGGGAGATAAAACAGAGACGCTGCGCTGCCCGAGAGGGGCCCAGCAGCCAGGCACAGAGAAGGCCTGGAAAGATCTGGACGGCCGGGGGGCTGGAGCAGCTGTGAGGGAGATGTGAGTCTGTTACCAACTGAACGTTTGTGTCCCCAATTCACATGCTGGACTCCTAACCCTGAGCTGACGGTATAGGGAGTGGGACCTCTGGGGGGTGACAGGTCAGGAGGGCGACATGGGATCCATGCCCCTACGAAAGCAGCCCCAGAGAGCTCCCTGGAGGCTTCCGAGACGTGAGGACAGGTGCTAAGGCGCCCTCTATGAACCGGAAGCCAGCCTTGCCAGCCCGAGTCTACTGGGGCCCTGGACTTGGACTTCCAGCTTCCAGACTGTGAGAGACAAATTCTGTGGTGCACAGGATACCCCGCCTATGATACTCTGCTACAGCAGCCCGAACAAACGGACTCAGACAGTCTGGAAGGCCACCCGGAAGAAAGGGGGGAGCCCTCGAGTGCCAGTGCCCCACCTCACCACAGCCCTGCCCTCCCGTAGCAAAGTCTAAGTGTGACGTCCTCCCAGCAGCCCACCCTCCACACTGGCCTCCCAACTGCTCTCACCTGGGTCCGGAGGTGAGGCCTACACCTGGCACCTGTCCCACCACAGGTGACCCCATCTGTGCCCAACTCACTCCAGGGATCCTCGCAGCCCCCACCTCTACCCTAAAACACTCCACATTCCAGCTGCTCCTTGTCCCTCGAGGTCAGCATCCCTCTTCACAGAGCTACTTCCTCAGGGCTGGAGCCTCTGAGGCTGTCTGTAAGGAACAAATCAGGGAGCCTCGAGGACCCCATGCTCCAGCCCAGAACCTCACAGTGTGGAACCGACCTAGCCTGCAGCCCGGGCCATGCCCCTGCCACATGCCAGACACTTCGTCCCGGCTGATGGCTCCTGCAGAGGCCGGGGCCCGGCAGAGGCGTGGACACGTGCCCGCGGGGCTGCCCGCCTCGCACCTGCCTGCCCCTTCCAGCGTTTCTGCTCAGCGTTAGGTAGACTCGTGAGTGTGAATTGGAAATAAAATTTTCCGGGAAGGTCCAGATAGTCACTGTTTGGGACTTCCTGCCACAGCAAAGGATCAAGAAAGCTCCAGACCTGACAGGGAATGGCTCCTTCAGCCGATGGACAAAACTCCACTGTACCAGCAAGTGAATAGCCACGGCCTCAGACTGCCACGAGAGGCGCCTGCCTGCGGCCTTGGGATGCCAGAAGGCATCGTCTTTCACACGAATCGCAGGCCGTGCCTTCCCGAGCTTGAGCGGCGCACAGCTTCCTCGCGCCAGAACTGCCAGGGCCTTCGGGAGCCAGCCGCGCGGGGAACGGCCAGGTACGGGCACGCCCGGCGACCAGCGCCTCCTTCACCCACTCACCCTCTCCTCCCCGCCCGCCCCATTCCTGGGCCTGCCTCGGTGAGCGAGTGCCAAACCGCCACCTCCCACCACGTCCCCTCCGAATCACCCCACCCTCCGCTCACAGCCACATGCCAGCTGCTGCGATGGGGCTGCACGTGACATTTGCCCAAGCTGCAAGCTCGGCCCACCGGGGTGGGACAGACCACGCGTGGGGCCTGCAAGGGTCCCTCCTGCGGGAGGAGGTGGTGGTCACCCCCAAGGCCAAGCCACCATCTGCTCTGGTGGGTGACAGTGGCCTTGGTGATGCCCCAGGCTCACGACACAGCTCCACCCTCTGCCAGGGCTGTCCTGGGAGACCCCTGTGAGTGAGCTCACCTGACCTCATAAACCCTCATTGCGGTCCTCCCTGGACAGAGGTCCACACTTCCCAGAAGAAACTACGCAAACATCCAAGTGCTACAAAACCTGGCCTCGACCTTCCAAGACGAGGGCTTTCCTCACAGAGAGACATCCTAGCAAAGGCCTCAGCCTCCAGCAGGTGCCCGGAAGCCTGTGACACTGCGCCCTGCATGCCTGACACCCTTTCCAGCTTGGCACCAACCCAGAGGTCACCTCCATCTCAGTCCTCCCCTGGCCTGGCCACCCATCCCACCACAGCCCCGTAGGCTTCACGGCACCTGTGGGTCCCCTCCTGTACAGCCCGTCCCCACCGGGCTCCTCCAGGACAAAGATGTCACGCACCCCTCCCTTCCTTCCTATGCCGAGGGCCAAGCGCAGGGACTCAGAAACGCACCAGACACTCACTAAAGGCTGACTGGATGGATGACAACAGGAAGGAGGAGTGGTATGAAACAGTGATGGGAGGAAAGAGGGAGGGAGGGTGGGTGGGCGGGCAGGCAAGAATAAGAGAGAGTGGAGTGAGAGAGGGATGGGAGGGGGCAGCTGGCCACTTCCCAGGGAACTCTCAGCCTCTGGACTGCCACCCCCGGCTTCACAAAGATCCCGCAGCCAACAGCCCACACATGGTGATGTGAGAGGTCACCTGTGCTCTTCCAGAGGTTGGGGAGCCATGCACCCCAGCCTGAGACCCACCTTCCACATCTGTATTTTGGCCAACGCCTGAAGGTCATCATGAAGGGACCCTAACTACTACCTCTAACTACTAGTCACTGAAGGCCTGAAGACAGGGAGCACCCACCTGGAGGTGCCAACTCCAGAGTCCTGCTCCTATGGCAGGTAGAGACCAAATCCTGCCAGCATCACCACCAGCCCCTCGTGGCCTCTCCTTAAAGCTAGAACACTGGTCCCAGCTCCAGAGCCGCTGGCAGAATGAAGTGCTGGCAAAGGGCTGAGCCTTTATTGAGCACCACTGTGTGCCAGGAGGTCCTGGGAGACCCAGGCTGGGGCTACACTCAGCAGGGGCAGAAGACATGAGGAGCCCAAGAGCAGAAGCCTCCCACCACCACCCCCTCACCCTCCCTCTGCTCCTAACCAGGCCCGGATGCACAGCACTCGGAAGACAGACCTCCAGCCCCCGGTCCCTTTTCCTGGGAGCCGTAGACTAGGGTGCTGAGAAAGAGAGCCTGTAACAATGTCTGAGGCAACCCAGCCTCAGTTTCTTCACCTGTGAAGCGATGTTTGTGAAGTGCTTGGTGCAATGCCTTGCAAAGGGCAGGGCTCAGCCATGTGGCCGCGGTCCCAGGCCACCTGAAGAATCTGTCCTCAGGGCTGTGAGCGAGTCATAGGACAGACCCTGTGGCCTGGGACTGAGAGGGACTCGGCAGGTATGGCTGTATCCATGGGTCCCCTCCTGATTAGCTTTTTGTACAAATACAAGATGGGCAAGGTGAGGAGTTGCCCATCCACTAAGAGACGGTTTTAAAATCCAAATTTTCAGGGGAAAGAGTTTAGATGGGCCATTTATAATAAAATGGAAAGCCAACTCTTGAATCTTCTTATCACTTTATCACAGCGAGTATAAAGATTACAGGTAAGTTATTCCGTGCATGCTCAAAGCCATACATACGCTTTAAAAGCTTCCCTTATTTTGGAGGAACGAGGTGGCTCACCCCTGTAATCCTAGCACTCTGGGAGGTCTAGGTGAGAGGATCACTTGAGCTCAGGAGTCTGAGACCAGCCTCAGCAAAAGTGAGACCCCGTCTCTAATAAAAATAGAAAAATTAGCCGGTCACCGTGGTGTGCGCCTGTAGTTACAGCTACTCAGGAGGCTGAGGCAGGAGAATCGCTTCAGCCCAGGAGTTAGAGATTGCAGTGAGTTATGATGACGTCACAGCACTCTAGCCTAGGTAACAGAGCTAGACTGTCTCAAAAATATAAAATAATAAAAAAATAAAAGCTTTCCTTATTTTAGACTAAACCTTTCCTAAAATTATTTTAAATGTATGAATTTTTCTGTATTCAAGATCAGTAAAAGGCAAAAATGTAACAGCTAATCTCCTCCAAGAACCAACACGCCCAAGAATAAAAATTATCTGAAGAAATCAGTTTCAATCATTAATCAAGCTATAGTAACACCACTTTTATTTCACAATTTGGCTATTAATAGCAAATAAATATTTTATTTCTACCTCTATACCCTATTGTCAGAAAAATGGGGACCCCCGTTAGTGTAGTGGCTGAATTAGGACTTTAATGTCCCGTGTATGTATATCAAGTGGCTCTGTGATGCAAGAGAAGCAAAGACAAAGATTTGTTCTGTACCTCTAATTAAAATAGTTTTACTCAGAAAATTAACCAAATAGCATAAGGCAATTGGTTAAGGGTACTTTTCATTTTTCCTGCAGGGTTTGCTGGGGGAGGGTGGTTATTGTTCTAAAATAGAATCATTTCTCCCTTTTGAGTCATTGTCGCTGGGAGGGTGGGGATCATGCCCCAGCCATCCGGGCACTCACCATGACGTCCCCCTTCAGAAGCTGGGCCGGCTCGATGGCAATGCAGATCCTGCTAGAGTTTTCTGGGCCAACATTGCTTTGGGATAAATAAGAAGGCAGATCACTATGCAACTCCATCATTCATGGGAAGAACACATGTTGAGAAATGCAACACTAGAATTAAAAATTCAGGCTGGGTGTGGTGGCTCACGCCTGTAATCCTAGCACTCTGGGAAGCCAAGGCAGGCAGATGGCTCAAGGTCAGGAGTTCGAAACCAGCCTGAGCAAGAGTGAGAGCCCTGTCTCTACTAAAAATAGTAAGAAATTAATTGGCCAACTAAAAATATATAGAAAAAAAATTAGCCAGGCATGATGGTCCATGCCTGCAGTCCCAGCTACTCAGGAGGCTGAGGCAGGAGGATCGCTTGAGCCCAGGAGTTTGAGGTTGCTGTGAGGTACATTGATGCCACGGCACTCTAACCTGGGCAACAGAGTGAGACTCTGTCTCAAAACAGAAAAAAAAAATTCAGAAATTACACAAAACGTCCTGATTAACTGAGAATCCAATTCCTGGGAATCTACACCATGGAAATTAACCTAAAAGGAGAGCTCCCAGGCCAGGGAGGGTCTTCACAGCATCCTCATGTTCCGTGACCGACACGCAGTGACTAAGGTCCAACCCCGGGCCCGGGGGGACCCTGCAGCCTCAGAGGAAGGGCCTGGTGTGCACGGCCGCAGCTTCAGTCCCAGGCTGAGGTGCAACTTCCAAAGCATGTGCGGGGTCCAACTCGAACCCACAACGGTGACAGCAGCTGAGTGGTGAGAACCTTTGTTACCCTTACTCAGTTTCCATTAACACTCATAAAATGCTTATCCACATGAAAAAAGCAAACCAAAAAAAACTCAGAAATTCATACAAATTCTGAGGACGTGTGGCTCCACTGTACCCAAATGCAAAGAGAGAGAAAGAAAAACCGTAAGGAAACCCAGTCCCAGGACTCTCTCCAACACGTTTACAGGTGACCCTCCTTATCTGTGGGTTCCACGCCCATGGATTCGACCAACTTGAGATCAAAAATACCGTGGAAAATAAATAAAAAATAACAATAGAAAAGAATACAAATTTTAAAAATACAGCAGAGCAACTATTTACGCAGCATTTGCCTTATATTAGGTATTGCGAGTAGTCTGGGGCCGAGTACGGGGAGGGTGGGCACAGGCTGTGTGCGAATACTACACCACTGTAAATGAGGGATTTGAGCATCTGCGGGTTCGGGTATGCACAGGGGCCTGGAATGGCCCTCTCTCCCCTCCCTGCTCCGGCACCCACGCCCCTTCATGAGCAGACTGGTGTGACAGCAACAAGACACCTCGCAGGGCAGGAGGGAGGGTGGAGGTGGGATGCCAGGACACAGCCCAGGGCTTCCCCTCCAGACTCTCTCTGGCTCCCTGTATTCTCTGCCCGACTCCCCCCCTTCCTGCAGGAGGCGCGGCTGAGGCTCTGGGGCGACGCCCGGGCTGCCCAGAGTCCCGTGGGAGGGGCGGCACTTACTAGATCCCTGAGGTGTACACGGGCTGCATGGCTTGGTAGAGCTTCAGAAAGGGCCGGCACACTGAAAGAGAGGCACAACCATCGGTAAAGGTGTAACCGGACAAAGCAAACGGGAGTTTGGGAGACAGAGAGACAGAGAGAAAGGCGCCTGTACCAGGAGACCGCACGTGCGGCCGCTGAGGTCTGGGAAAACCATGGGCAGAGCCAGACCCGGGGATCGTGGAGGCCGGGTTCACTGCTGCAGGAAAGGCCGGCCACACCTTGAAGCCAGGCCCACTTTAAGGAGCCTGCAGAGCACCAGTGAGACCTTTATCCAGAAAGTGAAAAAGGACCCTGAACTGTCCAGCCAGGCTGCCTTGTCATCAACTTGCCACTCAGCAAGGTCACGCTCTGGCCATGACGCCCAAGGGGACCTGAAGGCAGAGATGTACTTTACAGACAAAAGGCAGTGATGAGCGCAAACCCGTGCAGGACTAGGGAGGAGGGGACGGTGTCCTGTCCCCACCTACGTGCCGTGTGCAGCTGTGTGGGACTGGGCAGGAGGGGACAACACCCCGAACCCAGCCACATGCTGTGTGTACCTGCGTGGGACTGGGAGGAGGGGACAGGGCCCTGACCCCAGGCTCATGCTGTGTGCTTTCCACTGGGGTCATGTTAGAGGTGACAAGGAGATCGGCTCATGAGATGAGTCAGGGGAGGTCACATGCATGCCTCTCTCGCTGAGCTTCTCTCATGACTTGTGACCTCGAGGCCGGCTGCACAGCTGACTCCCAGGGCTACAGCCCAGGACGGCTTGTGCCTGCCCAAGCCACCGTCCTTGGGACACAGGGGGATTGGTGTTCCTCTCACTGGCCTCCTGTCCCTCCCCTAAATTGGCCCAATCCCACAGAGATGGCACTCAGTCCTCGAGAGGGGCCACAGGCAACCACCAGGGAGGCCGAGGAGCAGATCCTGGGCCCTCCAGAGAACGAGACTTCTCTACACTGAGGGGACCAGGTTTACACTGAGGCCAGCCCCGAGTCTGGGCCAGCAAACCGCAGGCGCCACATCATGCAGGACACTCACCTCCACCGGTGTCGAAGTTGGGGGTGCCGTGGAGGATGACCAAGTGCAGGAACAGGGGCGAGGCGTTCATTTTCACCGATCCAGACAGGAGCCCGCTGAGGAACTGAACGTACCTGCACAGGAACAGCCAGCTCAGCCTCCAGCGTGCCCTTGGCACCTGTCCTGGGCACAGCCAGGGAGGAGCACAGACCTGCCCTGCCCGGAGTTCGGGGAGAGCACCTGTCCCGCCTCACTACCAGGTGGGATCCCGGCGCAGCGCCCCCACCCCACGCATCTCTGGGGACATCCCACACCGACTGTGCACCCGCCATGCTGGAGCCCAGGCAACCTCCTGGCAGGCCTCACGCACCCCACACCTGGAAGGCCTCTGTCCCTGTCCAGCAAAGCCACAGCTAGGCACATCCAGGCCACAAGGCAGTCACTGTCCCCAGTGGGGAGTGGCAGGAAGCAGCGCCCGGCACACAGGTGAGCACACGCTCTGTAACTAGCTTGGCACCTGTGACGGGCACGGGAGCCAGGCTTCTGTTCTCACCCGAGAGCCCTCAGGAGCGGCTGGAGTCCACACTCCCCTCCTACACCCCGCCTTCAGGGCCACAGCTGAGGGTTGGAGGCCCTCTTTCCTGCCCTCTTTCCTGCCGCTCCTTCTCTCTGCGTGGCCCGGCCCCAAGGTGAAGGTCAGGTGGACTGCAGGCCTGGAAGACGCCACTTTTCCTGTCTAAATCCCAGGCATCTGCCTCGTATGCCCAATGCCAACTGCACGCACCTTCCATGTGCACAGGTGGGCAGCAGGGAAGTTTCTACACTAGGACATCTTACCACCGGGGTCCTCATGGGGCATGACATGGCAGTAGTGACGGGAAAGTGAGCTGGGGCCCTGCCATGCTCTCTGACGCTTCCTTGGCCGTGGCCCTCCCTGCTGGCTCCCAGCCTGGCGGGCCCCGCCCGAGGTCCCTCCCCACAGCCACGGCACCCCCCAATCTCCGCCGTAGCCCGCAGCCCCTCACAGGGAATTTATGTGTTTCCCCATCTGTCTCCACCAAAGTTCTGTAATCTCCGCAAGAAAAAAAACCCAAACGACCAAGGACTCTGCAGTATCTCGCCATCTGTGCGCATGTCTAGGCCCACGGCAGACACAGAGAGGACCCGGCAAATCACTATGTCGCCAGCACCACGACATCCCACCCGGGAGGGAAACGGTCACCTGGCTCCACCTTACGTCCATCAAGAAAAAGTCTCTGATTTACGCTGCAATTTGGACCAGTCTGTTACTCAAGCAGCTGACTGTATACAAAGCAAACTGAACAGCAGGAAATTTCTGTTAAATGTTACCGAAAACATGTAAAAGCCCGCTCATAGTCCACCCTCTAGCACATGTTAGAAAAGAGACTGCTTCAGCTCGGGCACAACTCGTAGCGAGGCGCAGGGCATGTGAGCGTCCCACCTTCCTGGCGCAGACGGCCCCGCTGCCCCTGCAGGACAGGGCGAGACGCACGAGCGCCGCAGGGGCCGGACACTCACCCTGGACACTCTCGGGCCCTGGGCAGCCAGGGACCGGACCATGGCCGAGCCTCCGGACGGCTCCACACCCCTTCCCTGCCAGGTATTTTCTACCCTGACGAGACTTCCTGCCTTCTCTGTGCTGTGTGTAGACAGAGGAATGAGTGAATCGTCTATTTTTTATTACCTAAATTTACACCTTGCAGATTTCACAGGCTCTTTGGCTCCCTGGTATTGAGCAAAGATGAAGAGCCGCCAATGTTTGGATGCGGGGCCTGCGTCACCCCAACGGGGGCAGTTCTTCACTCCCTCCAGCACCCACGGTCCCGGAAGCCGGGAATCCACTTCCTCGGCTGGCCCGCTTCCTGGCGGCATGCGGACTCCGCCGCGCCCGGCCGCCCACTCACGGCCGTCTGCAGTCCCCACACAGGTGGCTGGTCATTCACCCGCGGCTGCCCTCAGCGCCACTGTGCACCCAGACCCAAGCATCTGGGTGGATTCAGGGACTGTTCTACATGTTCACGCAAACACGGAACGTGTGTTCATTTCGTGGCGCTGTGCCTGAGGGCGCCTGTCAATGGGGCGGGGGGAGTCTGACTCCCTTATTCCCCGACTGCCAACGTCCCACGGGGGACAAACAGCTGCCCTTGGGGAAACTGAGGCCTCTCCCTGACCCACATCTTGTCCTGTAACCTGGTCACAGAGCCTCATTTCCACTGATGGGGCCTGGCTGTAACTGTCACCCATGCCACCAGAAAGAGCACAAGCAGCAGCTTCCTACAGACAAGGAGGGTCACGGTGACAGCAGGATACTTCTGTTTTGCTGCAAGCCCCAAAAGGAGGCCAAAGTCCAGGGCCACACACTCAGTCATAGTCAGACACCAACGGAAGTAGGTCGCCTCCTGCCTGGGACGCGGACTCTGGAGACTGGCCCCCCAAAACTGGCTCTCAACAGTCACCAGCTCCCCACATCAGTCCACACAGGGCTGCTCAGTTCACAGCTTAACCATTCGAAAAGTAATACTTTCAAAATACCCTCTGGGCATACCACCCTCATCTGTCCTTTTCAGAAAACTACTTTTTAATGAATTCGTATTTTCTGGTAAATGAAAGACAAAATGTTAAGGTAAGTACAGCTTATTTCTTCCATCACATGTTTTCTTAATAAGGAAAAAAATTTGTTAAAAAGAATATTATTCTAAGTCCCAAATAAATACATGACTTATAAAAACAATAGGAATGCCTTACACAAACAGCAAAGTTCACAGCAAATATAAGCTGTAGTTGTTGCTGTAGAGATGGCAGACAGGGAACCGGCCATCTATAACAGCCGTGAGTTTGTGAGTGACCACCCAGACAGTGGCCATCAGTACCAAAGAAAAGAAAATTCAGACATGGATGAAATAAGGGGAAACAAATAATGGGAAAGGATTTCACAAGTTCATCCAGCCAACGTGGGAAGAATCAATTTTAACTTTCTACACATGACATTAACCTATGGCTTTAAAGGTAGAGAAGAACGAATGAACGAATGAATCGACGAACAACAGAGTGTTAGACGCCCTCTAAGGAACATCTCAAAAGCCTTCTCAAAATGTTTCTACTTAGTAAACACAGTTTTCCCAGCTGCACAGATTAGAAGCCAGATAGTTTATAAAAATAGCTTTATTATATTCCCACTACTCTCTTTTCTTTCCTTTTGGGAAATAACTCCCTGACTCCCTGGGGATGATGTTTTCTGTGCTTCCTCTCAAACTAGTGCTTAAGTTTTAAATATTAAGGGATTGCCTTTAAGTTGCCAGGGAATCAACACAGAGCACGTGCTTCTGCCATGTCCCGGAGCAGGCTGGAATTTTCCGTTGTCCCTTGCATTATTTATAACTGCTATAAAAGCAAAAAAGCTGCATTTGGAATTCCCATAAGTCTCCCTACACACCTATGCATTTGAGTTGCACTGGACATAAGCTTAAATCTCTCTGAAAATGTGCATTTGTCAAACTCAGCATTCAGATGTCACTTTCCCAAGCACCAGGAGCCACCATGACAGGACATTTTTCCATATTCACAGCTCTCAGCGTCAGCTACGGCTACAGGGACGCACAAACCAGCAAGAAAAGGTGAGCTCTGCCCTGCCGGTGAGAACCAAGCTTGGGTGCCCTTCAATGGTCCCAAGTGCCCCCTTCCCTCGCCTGTCCGGGGAGAATAATGGGACCTGTGCTTTGGGACTGCTGCACAGGTGAGCCAGTGCAGCAGTCCCAAAGCACGGATATAAGGGGCAGAGTAGACAATAATATACAGTCACAGCCTCCATGCTCCCCGGGGCATACTGCCAGACTGTAGGTGGCCTTGCCCACAGAGCTGGCGACTTAGAGGGGACGGCCAGGCCCAGCCGAAGTGTGTGGCTCCCTGAGGAATGCTCCCCTCTTCCAGGCCAGGGGTGATGAGGAGGATGCTCGGGAGGGCCACAGGGGCAGGAAGCACCAGGGGCCACACTCCCTGAGCAGCAGCATCTTTTAGAGAACTCAGACACCTACTCCCCTTACGTCTTTCAAGTGTCCTTTCAGGCACTCAAGACATCATGTCAAAAATGGCATAAATATCAAAAGCCAAATAATGCTATAATGCTAGGATAATTTCTAGGATCCCAATTTCTACAAGCCAAGACGGTTGTTGGTCTCTCTTCCCTTCACCTCAAAGGAAGACCCACAGGTGCTCAGAAGACATGAGTGGTGCTCTTAGGTGACCTCCCAGGGTCACTTGTGCAGCTGACACTCAGGAGATGTCAGCTCTCCCAGAAAGAGCCAGCCACCTGCCACTCTCCCCACTCACTCAAAGTGATGGGGCCAAGACATGAGTGCTGCAGTCTGAACTCCTTCTCAGAAGGAAAAGTGGAAAAGGAAGAAAAGAGGAGGTCAGTCACTTCAATGATTTTAATACATCACTTTCATTATGCTGATGATCAACTAAGAGTACACCAGGATTTACTTTTAAATTACGTATCAAAGAGGCAGGCCTCCAAGTTCAGGGAAGCTCAGGGGGCCTCCCTAGCACAGCAGCACAGCACAAGGCCACACCAGGTGTCAACAAGCTGCTTCTGAAGCTTTGCTAAAACAGGGAATTACAGCGGGGCGGGGCTGACCTGGCTCGCGGGCTGACCGCTCAGGGTCTTTTCCACATAACGAACACAGTAACGGGGAACTCATCTCCCACCAAGGTGCTGTGAGACTTTGGAGCTTCTCGGCCACAAACCCCAAGTTAATTAATCCCTATCAAGAGTGATTATTACAAGTTTGACTTTGAGATGATTTCTGAGCTCAGTCCTAATATAGCATCTGGAGCACCCCACTCAGGGCATCCAGGACAACAGAGGAGCTCCCAGCACAGAGCCTGTTCCCATAAAAGCAGTCATCGCACATTCTTCTGGTCCAAGCATTCCTCCAGATTTACCTTATGCGATCACTCAGTTGTTCACTCGCTCAGTAACCACTTGGTGAGCACCTTCTAATGCAGGCACAGGGCAGGGTAATAGGGAAACAGCAAGGAATAAGGGCATTTCCCTAATCTTGGGTGCAGGGAGATTAACCTTTGAACGCAAAACGGAATCCATTCAGTTACACTGTTAAAAAATATAAATGCCATAGCTTTAAATGTGCAACGACAGGAAGAGTGCAGGAAACCCTTGGGCATGTTAAAATGAGGTGATTTCCCCCCTTTTCCCCACAGTCATCTAACACTATTAACAAGCTGCTGCTACAAGTAACAAGAACAGAAAGAAGGAACTGAGTGCAGCCATGCTTCCTCAACATGAGCTAAGCATTTTGCCTGGGTTAGCCCCTGTTTATGCCTCATCTTCCTTGAGGAAGGTCGCATGAATGTCACCATTCTGGAAACCATTCAACAGAGAAATAACACACTGGTTCGAAACAGAGCAAGGGGCTATTTAACTACAACACTAATAAAATGCTGGGGTTTCTGCAAGGGACTTTCATTCCGTGTGATGCCTGTCGCTCAGAGCAGGGCCCTGCCTGGTGCTGCCCCACTGCCCCACACTCTGCCCACCGTCCTCCTACACACCCAGTCGGAGCAGAAATGGACCCAGGACACTGGAAACAGCAAGGCCAAGGGAGAAGGTGTCCCTGGCAGCCTTTGAAGTCCCCTTCCCCTACCCCACGTCTCCTGACAAAGCCCTCGATGCACCAGAAAAAACCCAGGGTCAGGCCTGTGTCTACTTTGTCTTCAAGACTCAGAACATGTGGCAATTGCCTTGGTAACTCTTGTACAAATTCTCTGCTGTTTGGTTTAGAATAAAAATGCAATGGAGCTACTCACTTGGCTCCGGTGTTGCCTTCTCACTGCCTCTCAGCCAGCCCTGCTCAAGTTCTTGACCTCAGCCTGGTGGGGGAGATGGCAGAGGCAGACAGCTCTGCTCCCCCATGGCTGTTCCCTGACAGTTACCGAGCACCTTCCAGGGGCCGGGCCGAGCAGTGAGGAAGGGAGAGATTGGCACTATTAAAGAGAAGTGCTCCCTGCCTCAGGGAGCGGATGGGCTATACAGGGATTGGCCAAATGCAACCTGCTAATGTGTCTGTGTCAATAAAGTTTTATTAGAATGCAGCCACGTTCACTGATGTCTGTACTGCCTATGGCTGTTTTCATGTTAGAACATCTGTGACAGAGACCATGTGGCCTGCACACTGCTCTAGTCCATTACAGCAAAAGTTCATTGACCCCCAGTCTATCAGATAAAAACAAGTTCCAACATAATAGAAATCAAAACTCACTCACTGCAGGAGAGCAAGACCCCAACTGCTGCGGGGAGCAGAGGGAGTCCCGGCCTGCCTCTCGAGGACGAGCCAGCCGGCGGGGGGCTCAGACGGCACACATGCAGCGCGGCCCATCGCCTCGCCTCTGGGCGTGGACAAGCCCCCCCCTCACGTTCTTTGGCAGGACACAAGGATACCGTTTGGGGGTCAGGTCAGAGGAGCTGCCTCTTCTGTTTTCCCATGTTTAAATGTAAAACCCCATTCACCGTTCACTCCAGCGCCGGGGAGGTAGGATGTACACATACCTTCTCTGGGATGGCTGCATTAAAGCTGAAACCTTGTCATCATAAAACTTCTTCATTGCAAACCTGTCAAGGGCCTGGTCAGCGCTGGGGAAGCAGAGAGAGAGAAAGACAGCATGGGCTCAGTGGAGGTCCTGCTGCATGGCTGGGTGGCAGGGCACAGGTGTCCCGCGGCTGTTCAGAGTGACCAGCTCCCACAAGGAGCGTCCCTCCCTCGCCGCGCCTGAGCATTCCCAGTCTGTCCATCTCTCCTGAGATGGCGTCCCCGCTGCAGGACCACGCTCCGCTCAAAACAGAGCTGCACCTGCAGGGTGTGAACACTCCTCTGAAACAGCCGCACCTTATCTAAGGGTGTGACACTCAGAAGTACCGCACACCTGGCCCCGGGAGGAGGACTGCTGGAGTGTCTCAGTAGGCGGGCAGCAGGGCCAGAGTCCAGAATTGTCCCTGGCCAGCCCAGCTCCCCACAAAAGGAGGCCGGATTAGGTGGGCTCTGCATGAGACACACAGGCAGGCAGATGTCTCGGGGCCGAGAGGATGTGGGCAGCAAGCCCAGGGCACGACAGTGCACGCCCACCACATCCCACGTGGTGTGTTTGGGACACGTGTGGGCTGGCCAGGGTGCCTGGGTCAGGAAGTCACTTCTAGGAACACACCTGAGAAAGGTGCAGGACGCTGCAGCACCACAGGGGCTTAGGGAGGTATCTGAGGCCTCAGGGCTGCATAATTATGTCTCAAAGTGAGTGCCACAGAAAGTAACCCTGCCTTCCACCCACGTACCTGATGTTAAACTCGAGCTCCACAATGCCCACGTGGAATGTTCAGCAGAACTTTCCAGAAACCTCATTGAAGGGCATTTGTGGGTTTTCTTGATATGACTTCCGCATAAACCGTGGAATCTGGGTGTAATAAGTCTTAACAACGCAGACTTATTTGAGCCAAAAGCTTTCTTCAAACTCTGATAGAAGTGCAGCCCTTTCATTAGAAAAATATGTATGTATCCCTCCAGAAGAAGGATGTATGTAACAATGGTTGATATCATAAAGACCCAGAAAAAATATGCAGGGACAGGCAGAAGTAAAAGGGAAAATGTTTAAAATTAAGTTTAATGTATTTTGACTTTCAGTAAGTGTGCTAAAATGGATAACTTGCCGCCTGTACCTGCCTAAGCAAGGGGCCAGCTGGTGGCTGTCACAGACAGGGGTCCATTTAGGCATCGGCCACTTCACATATTGAGCAGATGTGTCTTGTAAGTGGGGAAGTGTAGTCACATGTCCACTCATTGACCTTTAAGTAGCTGTTTGTCTGGAACTGACTTGTTTATTAAATGTTGGGAATACACCCTGGCCAATGTCATGTTCCGTACATGAGTAGTCACATGAGTGCTGGCTTTGCCTTTAGGAACTCTTATTTTTATGGTGCTGATACAAGAATGTTCTTCTTACTTTGTGACTTTCAGTTTCTGTTTTGATCTGTTTGTGTAGTTGTGGTAAAGGCCTTAAACACGTGATTGCTCTACTTCTGGACTATGATCTAAGAGGGGACATTGCAGAAATGATCACAGATGTATGTGTAAGAATGTGCTCGTCACGGCAAGCTGTGGAGTGGAGGATAATCTGAAGCAACCTAAATTCTAAAGAAAAGCTAGAAGCAACCTGGCCAGGCACAGCTGGCGAGTGTTACATACCTAGCATCACACCCACTGAAGGCGGTGCTCTGCGGCCACTGGGATGGGCTCAGGGAGACGCACAGGAAACGGCGTCAGTGTAGACAGCAAGTTACGGAGAATGCATGGTGTCAGCCACTGAATTGAATGGCACTTAATAGTGTCACTCCTGCTAACGGCAGCAGCACTAACGGCAGCCAGTACCTGAGCGCTGGCGCTATTCTAAGTGCTTTAGGTGTGACGACATGCTGCAGCGCCACGGCACACTGAAGTGTCACAACACTCTGGTAGGTACGACTATTATTCCTACTTCCCAGATGAGGACACTGGGGCATAGAGACTCAGGTAAAGTGCCTGACACACGCAGCTGAAATACGGATTGACTATGTGGAGAGGGGAGACCGCTCAGAAAGGGCGTCAGAGCTGTGCTTTAAATGAGTCAGGCCCTTACTGCCAGGGCAGCCCCGGTGCACGGAACCTCGACGCAGACAAAACGGCCTTGTTAGGCAGGAATGCTCAGGGTGGTCTCGGTCCAGAACGAGCCGGGCTAGCCTCGGGCCCCACCCATGTCTCTGGTGTGACTGCGCCCTGGATGTGAGCGGGAGGCTCGGTCTGTCTGGCACACACACAGGTGACTGTTCTCACCACAGGGGATCTGATTTGCACTCGGGGTTGGGTTTCCGCCCTGGCAGGCACTAGCTCCCCGATTTGTTTCCAGGGAAAACATTCAGAAAGTCAAATTTCACTCCATGGTGCTAGAAAGGAAAAGGTTTACTGGCTGCTATGAATAGGCTTCTATATCCTCAGCGTGGAAGCTCGGGCTTCACAAAGTGGGCATTGAGAAGATGGGGCACGCGCATGCGAAACCCACAAAGAATGGTGTTTCCTAAACTGAATCTCAGCATGAGTGGAAATCTGTACTCTCGGAAGCAGATCAGCGGACGCCACGGCTGCCGAGCGCCAGGAGGGCTGGCGTGGGGCTGAGGTCTTCATGGCCCTGCTGTGCCCACTGTGCCTGGCTGAGGGGACCCCAGTGGCACCTCAAAAGGCCCCACAACAACTGTTCTACCTCGTGAGAACCAGCCCAGACCCGGCTTCCTATGACAGGCTATGAGATAGAGAGCAAGCTGCCTGGTCCCCTGAGCCTCAGTTTCCTCATCTGTACAATGGCAACAATAACTGCCTCGTGGCTTACTTGGGAAAATTCAGGGAGAAAAGGAAAATATTCAGTGTACTTCCCAGAGAGCCGGCACATGCAAAAAAACAGTGGCTGTCACCATCACTATTTAGAAGGTATAAACTGATCCAGTGAGACAACTCTGTTCTTGCTTTTCCTAACAGTGACATTTACCGCTGTTATTTCTATTAGAGAATGACAGTGAGCTCACTTATTTTAATGTCTCCAAGGACGTTCTTAGAATCAATCATACATAGCTGCCCAACCAGGAAAATGTCTTTTTCACAAGTGTAAACCCTTAACTGGAAGCTGGGTTTCCAGGTTCCAACCACCCTGGCCCCGGGGAGTGGGGGACACGGGTCAGCGTGCCCTTGGGACTCCATCCAGGATGGCTCCCAGGCAGGCAGCCTCCTGCCCCGGCACTCTCAGCTGTCAACAGCTCAATGCAGCAGGCCGACATCTTCATCCTACCTGGCCGAGACGTTGGTGAAGTGCATGTAGGATGATATGACCACTCCTATGCGTCCTTTCCCGCCCTGCAGGAAACAAAAGAGGAATCTGTTTTCTCTGGATTCCCACAGCAGAGGTGTAATTAGAATGGGAAAACGCTCACCCTTGGACAGAATGACAGAGCTTGTTTTAGAGGGTAGACCAGTGCGACCCCACTCCCCGGCTGCCCTGTTCCGGGACAGTCAGCACCCGGCACGGCCGAAGCCTCCGTCGCAGGGAACCCACATGCCAGGCTCCAAGAGCAAGAGCGAGAGCTAACTGGAGCGGCCCCGGAAGTCCTCTCGGGCAGATCGACACAGCAGCGGCCCATGATTTCACCCAGGTCGGAAGACACTGTGCCAGGAGCGGCAGCAATTAGCATGACTTCATCACCCAGGTGAGATGGAAGTGAACGCCGCTCAGGGCTCAGGGCTCGGTCAGCGCTGAGATGGGACACAGAGTCCAGCCTGCTCACAGCCTCCCTCGTGACACACAGGACCGCTGTCCCAGGCAGGCGTTGAGGGAAAGGAATCACTCAAACTGCAACCACAGACACCCACAGCCCAGCCCACAGGCCAACAATATCAACAGCAGAAGGGGAAGCTACGTGACAGCCCCCCCCACCCAGAACCACAGATCGCCACTTTCTAGAACGCACTGTTCTATAACTGACCTATAATACCGGTCGGCAAACCACAGCCCACGAGCCAATTCTGTCCACTACTTGTTTTCTTAAACCTGTGAGCTAAGAGTCATCTTCAAATCATTGAGGAAAAATCAAAAAAAGAATAAGATTCCGTGGCACGTGAAAATTCTTTAAAGTTGAAACTTTGGCATCCATACGTAAAGTCTGACTGAACACGGCCACCCCTATTGTTCACATACGTGCAGGGCTGCTTCTGCCCACACCACAGGGACAGGTTGGGTAGCTGCAGCAAGACCATGCATGTGGCCTGCAACATGCCAAATACTATCTGGCTCTTTTAAAAACATTTGCCAACTTCTGATCTGGAATCACATGAAGCCACAATGGCAGGGCCACCCACATGAAGCTCCCTAACGTCCTGAAAAGGAACAACTGAGCAAATTCAAACCAAAATTCACAAGCATAGTAAACCCACAGCGTAGTGAATGCCACCCAGAGCATTCTTCTCTCCAGCAAAAGTCGAGAGCGTGCTTTGCAGAGATTCAGTGTGGGCACTCAAGGAAAGCCCCTTGCCAAGATGCCACTGGATCCGGGCGCACACAATTGGTCACTGTACGTGCCAGTATGCTTCCTGCATAAAACTCTATTTGACAGAAATTCACTTACAAGGAAACAGCAACACCTCAGCCAAACAGGCACACACAGTGGTGGTATTCACCCCTTATAGCGATAACTTCTGAGGCACTAGTTACGGATATATAAAGCAAATACTAAGAGATCTGAAGGGAGAGATAGCAACGCAGTAATAGTAGGGGACTTCAATACCTGGCTTCCAGCAATGGACAGGTCACCCAGACAGAAAATCAGTACGGAAACAGTGTACTTAAACTACACTTCATGGACCTAACAGACATACAGAACATTCCGTTCCAGAGCAGCGGAAATACATTCTTCTCAAGTGTACACAGACATTCTCTAGGCTAGATCAGACATTAGGCCACAAACAAGTCTTAACAAATTTAAGGAGATGAAAATCATATCAAGTATCTTTTCTAACCACAATGGTATGAAACGATAAATCAATAACTATAAGAATCTTGGAAAATTGACAAGTATGTGGAAATTAAACAACATATTCCTGAACAACCACTGGGTTAAAGAAGAAATCAAGAAGGAAGTGCAGACACATCTCAAGGCAGACACAAATAGAAACACAACACACCAAACTCATGGGATTGCAGCAACAGCAGTTCCAAGAGGAAAGTTTGTAGCATTAAATTCTTGTGTCGAAAAAGAAGAAACCTCTCAAATAAAAAATCCTAATGTTCCACCTCAAGGAACTAGAAAAAGAAGAACTAAACCCAAAGTTAGCAGAAGGAAGGAAAAAAAAAAGATCAGAGCAGAAATAAATGAAATAGAGATGATGAGAAAAGTCTCATTAGACAATAGAAAAAATCAGCAAAACTCAGAGTTTGGTTTTTGAAAAAATCTTTAGACAGACTAAGATAAAAAGAGAGAAAACTCATTTAAAGTCAGAAATTAAAGAAAAATCATCATAAATGATGTCACAGAAATACAAAGATCACAAGAGACTGCTATGAACATTATACACCACTAAACTGGATAACCTAGAAAAATCAGATAAGTTCCTAGACATGTACAGCCTACCAAGACTGAATCATAAAGAAAAGGAAAACCTGAACAGACCAATAACAAGTGAGGATATTCAATCAGTCATAAAAACTCTCCCTTCAAGGAGAAGCCCAGGACCTGAGGGCTCCTGGTGAATTCTACCAAACATTTGAAGAAAGGGTAAGACCAATCTTTCTCAAACTCTGCTACAGTGTGAATATTTGTCTCTTCCAAAACTCATGCTCAAATGTAAGCCTCAATGTGGCCGTGTTCAGAGGTGGGGCCTTTAAGAGGTGACTGGAGCCCTCATGAATGGATTAATCCTTTGTCATGGGAGCGGGACTGGTGGCTCCCTCGCCGTGTGACAACCTGCACCACCCTGGGACTCTGCACAGGGTCCCCACCAGCAGGACGGCCCTCACCAGATGCTGCCCTTGACCTTGGACTTCTCAGCCTCCATAACTATAAGAAGTATTAAATAAATTCCCTTCCTTTAGAAACTATCCAGTTTCACGTATTCTGTTTTAAGTAACAGAAAACAGACTAAAATAAACTCTTCCAAAAAATTAAAAAGGAGGGAATACTTCCAAACTCATTTTACAAGATCAGCATTACCTGATATGAAGTCTTTTCTTAGAAGAGCTAGATCGTAAGTATTTCAGGTTTTGCAGGCAAGCAGGTCTTGCTTCAACTACTCAAACCTGCCACTGCAGTGGGGTGGGGCAGCCCAGGACGCACAGAAACAAACGGGGAGGCTGGGTTCCCACCAAACTCTATGAACGGACACTGACATTCGGAACTTCATGGGATTCTCATGTAAATACAACCCTTGCCTCACAGGTTGAAGGAAAACAAGTGGTGGGCACAACTGGCTGGTGGGCATTTGTATGTTGGGACAAGCGACTTTCATTTGGACTTGAATGGTCTGGATCTGCTCTTCAACAAAAAGCCCAGAGTCCCTAACTGTACAGTCTGCTGTGGATATCCCTCATCATGGACTCAGAAGGTGTGGTGTGGCCGAAATTTCCCAAAAGAACCACAAGCTATTTCTGCTCAATCCATAACCGGGGGTGGGTAGGTCGGTGGGCGACAGGGTACACCTACACAAAGGCAGCCCTTCACATGAAACAACAGACCCAGGACATGGCAGGACCGGTCGCCCCTGCCCTGCTCCCGCAGGCGGGCTGGGCCAGCTATGTCAGCCATCCCCGGCATGCGCGGAAGGAAACGCGCATTCTGCAGAGCGGGCAGATTCCAGTGACCGTCAGCGGTTTCACCCCCGTGGCGATGATGATGAACTTCTGTTAACGTCCACATCAGCAATTTCAAATTAAAAGAGGGCTTATCTCTCTTGGCACGTTTTCTAAGTGTTTCAAAATGGTTCGCAGGACACCAGAACAGTGCAAGTGATGCGCACACCACTTCAGAGAAGCTTCAACCTGTTCCGGATGGATTCCACCAGCAAGGTTTGTCAGAGAGCCGCGAGTGGCTCAGGAAAAGGACGCAGTTTAGAAATCTCTAGGCGGTAACTTCATCATTGGGACCCATGTGTTTTAAATAATTTTATAATTTCTTTCAATTTCATTTAAAAATTGAAGTGAACCACTAGATGAAATGGTCAGCTAAGGGAGCATCCCCTGAGGACGCAGCTGGCGGCAGCACAGGTCTGGGAGAGCCGGAACCTGCACTTCTCACAATGCTGCCATGCTGCTCTAATGCTTTGCCAAGTGGCCTTGGGCAATGGTGACCCATCAGTATCAGGCTTGCTGTGTCAACACCACCAGGCCAAGCCTGAAGAGCTTAGTTTGTTTTAATTGACAAGAATCATATCTGTTAAAATGTCTCTCTTTCTCTCCCCCCCCCTCTTTCTCTCTTTTAGTTTGCACTAAAACACAAATTTGGGCGGAGGCTCCTTAGTTTAACACAATAGTTTAAAAAGGTCAGGTTAACACAGATAATTTGGTATGAGTACTAATGGGTACATGTGTCTATTTGGGGGAATGTGTCCAAATTAGATACGAGAAAAGAGACAACACCAGAGAGAAGCAAATGACATCCAGGTGCACCTTCTGGGTGATTTCTATTTTTTCTTTCTTTTTTTTTTTTTTTGAGACAGAGTCTCACTTTGTTGCCCAGGCTAGAGTGAGTGCCATGGCATCAGCCTAGCTCACAGCAACCTCAAACCCCTGGACTCAAGGGATCCTTCTGCCTCAGCCTCCTGAGTAGCTAGGACTACAGGCATGTGCCACCATGCCCAGTGAATTTTTTCTATATATATTAGTTGGCCAATTAATTTCTTTCTATTTATAGTAGAGATGAGGTCTCACTGTTGCTCAGGCTGGTTTCGAACTCCTGACCTCGAGCGATCCTCCCGCCTCGGCCTCCCAGAGTGCTAGGATTACAGGTGTGAGCCACCGCGCCCGGCCTGCTGGGTGATTTCTGCACGTGGAGTGATCATCAAATGTCAGGAGCATGGCAGCTGTAAACATCAGCAAGTCGTCCTTCCTCAGTCTATGAGCAGATCTCAGCGCCTTTGTAGGAAAGTCACACTGACAGTATGACGTAACTCAAAGGGAACTTTTCTTTTAAACTGAATTCCATAATACAATGGATTTTTGTACCACTTATAAGTGTAAAAGTCTGGAGGGGAAAGAGGACACTTCCGCCCTGAAATGTCAACATTCCTAGATGTGTTGATGGCCCTAAGACTGCAGTATTGAACATACCAAGTAGAGGAGGCCCCTTGATGGGCGGGCCCCCCTGCCTGGCAGTGCCCCTTCTCAAAGGATTCCCAAGGTGTCGGGGTAAGAGCTATTCTCGTGTAATAAAGTGCCTCGTGGGGGGAGGCGCCCTCTCAACCCCAGTCGCATGTGAGGACCCAGGGGTAGTACAGGCAGCTGAGAAACCTGAGCGCTAAAAGGACAGACTGCAGGAGGTCAGAGCAGGAAACATGAAGGAGGCCGGTGGCAGCCAGACCACACCTGGGCCGACCTGCCGACCACACCTGGGCCACCCTGGGCCACCGGCCACCTGTGAAGACGCACAGGCCGTGTCTTCCCTGCGCAGGCTCTGCTTGGAAAGGACCAAGTGTTTACTGCAAGAGCATCACGACATCACCACGGATCCGTCGACTCATTACCAGCCTGCGCTGATACAGCAGGTCTGATCCCAGCCATCGGAAAAGTACCTTTCTCTTTTGAAAAAGAGCTTTCCATGAGAAACAAAAACGAATAGAAATAAAAGGATTTCCTCTCACTACCATCCACCATCAGTTTCAAAACATACAGCTACACATTCAGGGACCTCAATCCTATGAATTCTCCCCAAACTTGGGGAGGTTTGGTAACTCTTTTTTGTTTGCTCGTCTGTTTTTAAGGACAAGTAGGAAAACCCACTTGAACCCACTGGGAGCACATTGTGGAGACAAAGCTTGTTAGCTCTCACAGGGCCAGCGCTGGTCTCCATCTCATTTCCCCCAACGGCTGAAGCCCAGAGGGCCCCCCAGGCCCCTGAGTGCCGGGAGACGGGGGCGCTCACCCTGCAGTGGATGACGACCACGTGCTGGGGGTCGCTGTTCAGCCAGGACTCCTGTGCCTTGCATATGGTGCACATCTTATCCAGGGGCGGTGCGTGCAGCTCCGGCCAGCCCACGTCCATGATCTGCAATGAGACAGAGGAGCTTCCTTAGTTTCCATTTCCTGACGCCCTCTGTGCCATCTTATGATGACTTCTGTAATCATTAGCATACTTCATTTAACAGTAAAGTATGATGATGCATTATGGCCAACCTCCTTCCCTGGAATGAAAAAAATAGCTACAGCTGTACACATGTGACACCTCTTCTTGCAAGGGCTCGCCTGTTCCACTGCAGCTGGGGTGGCAAAGCCAGAGAGGTTCCCAGGGGGTTGCTGATGGTACAGGGCTGTGTGCAGAGGGACTGACTCCCAGAGAGATCTGAAGCCCAGGAGTCCTTGCCAAAGCTGCTGCCACAATCCCTACACTCAGGCTAAAAATCAATGTTTGGGAAATACAGCTAGCCATTCCGCACACACTGCGCAGACAACAGATACAGCAGAGACAAAGGACAACACACTCCTTTTTAAGGACAAGAATGTGCCCGTGAAGAAGGAAACACCCTCAAACCTCGATTTGGTTTGGTGAACAAATAAATCACCATTGCGTGATCAGGACACGGCAGCTCTGTGCACGGGAACAGCCGCTCAGAGCATCCTGACACCAACTCCAGCCCACGGGGAGCCGCAGTGGCCACATGGTGGTGTTGCTTTTCCTTTTATTTGCTTTTGGTGAGTGGGGAGAGGACGCAGAGCTCTATCTTATTATTACAGTGTAGACATAGTGTAAAATGGTTGGAAATTCCAGAAAACTGCCAGGAAGGAGGAAAAGTCACTACTTTCTCACAAAGCAGAGAAAACCACCGTGACATTTTGAGGAGTCCCTCAGTCTTTTTTTCTAGGTATATTTAGTGTAACTGAGATCATATTATACACAAATTCCATATATTCTACTTTTGCTAACTTGTACGAAATGGGCAGCTTACCACCTTACTTTTTTTTTTTTTTACTCTAATGGCTGCAAAATATTTCAACACACAGAATATATATATATATAAATAAATATAATATAACTTATGCTTATATAGCCTTAAAAACTGTCTCCCAATTTTTGCTATTGAAAATAATCACGGAAGGAATGGAAGGTGCTGACTACAAAAAGGTGGCACGACAGAGCTCCCTGTGGTGACGGAACATTCTGTGTCTTGCACGACGTGGCAGAGAAACACACACACAGCAGTGTATGCAAAACTAGCGAAATGTGAACAAGGTCTACGAACTGTACCAATGTCAATTTCCCGGCGTAGATATTTCACTGTCACTTTTGCAAAATGCTAACCTTTGGGGGAGGGGGAGTAATACATGAAATCTGTCTATATTATTTTTGCCACTTCCTGCGAATTTATAATTATTTCAAACTAAAAAAGTTTTAATTTAAGAAAACAACCAATGGATAAGAATAATTCCTAATACCCTTTATAAAGACTAGTAACAAACAATTTTTGCACAAGCAGAATATTGTTTACATTTAACAAAACTCAGAATATAAAGGGATGAAGTCCATACCTTTGGGTTAAGCTTCGCAAGGTCATATCTCTTTTCCGAAAGGTTTAGTACCTACAAAGGGAGGGGGGAATAAAGCTTTTAGATGAATCATCAACCCAGAGCTGAAAGGAGAAAATACGATGCATTTTTATATGCTATTTATCTTCAAGGTACTGATGACAGTGAAAGCCTGCAATGTGTAGATATGTGCATTGTCACAGAGCAAAAAACATCAATAAGATGAAGATGGCATACTGCACCCTGATGCACAAACTCTACACGAATTCTATGTTAACTAGCATTAAAACAGGCACGTTACCACATTTTTTTATTATAACAGTTTATTCTCATTCTTATATTCCAACATACAGAATATATACATGTGTATATGTGCATGTGTACACACACGCACACACGTGCACCCCGTAACTTTCCTGGACTTGCTCCTGGAAAACAGAGACTTCTCAGACATGCTGCGGAGGACAGTCCCTCCCCTATGGCACTGCAGGATAGCCCTGGACAAGACTGAGTTCACAACCAGCCGAGAGCCACATCCTAGCACTACTTAAAAATCAGAGCTGTTTTTTGCTTGCTTAAATCCTCAAGTAAAGCAAAATGTAAAAAATAATGTTTCAGCAGAAAGGGGCCTTAAAAATTAAGTAAACATTCCTCATGCTTCAGAGACGGGACGTGAGTAAAGAGAAGAGCAGGGCTTGTCCGGCCACCAAGCAAGGCCTGCTTGTGACAGCAGGGTCCATGGTTCCTTTTTTGGGGGGAGAGGTATTTATTTTATTTTATTTTTTTGAGATAGAATCTCACTCTGGTGCCCAGGCTAGAGTGCTGTGGTGTCAGCCTAGCTCACAGCAACCTCAAACTCCTGGGCTTAAGTAATCCTCCTGCCTCAGCCTCCCGAGTAGCTGGGACTATAGGTGCACACCAGGACGCCCAGCTAATTTTTCTATTTTTAGTAGAGACAGGGTCTTGCTCTTGCTCAGGCTGGTCTTGAACTCCTGACCTCAATGATCCTCCTGCCTCAGCCTCCCAGAATGCTAGAAGGTATTGCACAGGTATGAGCCACTGCATCTGGCCCACAGTTCACTTATAACCCTGGCACTAGCTGCCTCCTGTGCCTACTTGACACCATCTCCATCCCAGCCCTGTTAGAATTGTCAGGGACACAGTGGCCCTTCCCCAGGGGGCTCAGGACACTACAGCAAGACAAGACACATCACCCTGAACGTCCTCCATAAATGGCTCATCATTTTATTTTCATACCTACCGTGTTTACCCGAAAATAAGACAGGGGTCTTATATTTATTTTTCCTCAAGAAGACACCCTAGGGCTTATTTTCAGGGGATGTGTTATTTTTTTTAAATACAGTACAACAATCTACATTTATTCAAATATAGTTAAGTCGTCTTCTTCTGGAACACCATAACTCTCCAAATCTCGAATTCCACCCTGAATTTCTTGTGACTGTATTTCCTTTAGAACCATTGGGCCCAATCTCTCATGTCAAGCACTAGAGCTCTCATGGGACAGATGAGAAGGACTGCTCGTCTTCTTTACCACTCTGCGACAAAATGCATGGGTTGTGCAGATACGCTGCGCAGCCACGCCCATCACTAGGTCTTATTTTCGGGGTAGGGTATATATTGCGCAAATGCTCAGAAATCCTTCTAGGGCTTGTTTTATGGGTAGGTCTTATTTTTGGGAAAACATGGTAATTACTGGATGAATACAGAGAAACAGAGATGAGCCTTCCCTGCTGTCCTTAACTGAGGGTCTTTACGATACATGCACATGGGTCTTTCTTCAGGTTTTCCAAAAAGGTCCTTGTCCCAAAACAAGTAGCGGACCCTTGACCTAGCCGTTTGGAAAGGGGCACTCTAGTCCTGACAAGGCCCCACACAGTGTCAGGGGAAGAACATCCCCAGACCCAGCCCAGTGCCGCCCGGGCCCTCTGCTTGTTCTCCTGGGGGAAGGTGGGCCAGGGGACAAGGGAAGGGTGGCCAGAGCACGGCTGGGGATGTGCCGGCCGGTGTGCGTGGCTCCCAAAGGAGGGCCATGTCCTGCGGAGCAGAGCCCCTCTGTGACAGAGGAGGAAGCCCTGGGGGGACAGGGCCTGCACCCCACCTCCCTATCCATGCCAGGTCACAGCTGGGCTCCTGGGGGAGGAGGAGGCCTTGCCAGGGCTGCTCTGGAGTCGGATGGAGGCCGCACCCACTCTGCTGCCTGGGTCCACCCTCCCAGCCCGCGCCTAGTCACGGGGCAGATCCACAAGGGAGACAACAGCAGCCTTGCTGGCTGGCAGGACAGATCGGCCTTGCTGTAGGTAAGGAGGTGGTAGAGGGAAGGTGCCAGGGAGCTGTAACGCGACCCCAACAGTGACCAGAACAGCAGAGGAGGACGGGAAGGGCTAACAACCCTGGGAAGAGGAAACGAGGGCCCCTTGGAGGGTAACAATTAGTGACAGGCTGTTCTGCATTTTTCCTCTACTGGGGGCTCCACCACCAATGGCACACACGTGTTTTGAAAACTGAGCTGCCTACTGGTCTCCAGGGCAGCCCCTGGTTTCTTGGACACCCACCTAATTTGTCTTCCTACTTTCTCGCTCAGGAAGAAAGTCACAGTTGGCTTTTTGATATGAGGGATGCCACCTGGGACCTGCAGGGGCCGTGTGCTGAGGCACTGTGGAGCCGGCGTTACGGATGAGGGACGCCCCCTCGACGTGGCAGGACGAGGCCGCAGCCACCCCTGTGGGCAGCTGTCTTGTGTCCCTGACAGCTACCCATGGAGAGGCACGACACTGCTCCTGAGGCGGGTGGCAGAGAGCAGCGCAGGACCAACGCTCTCTGCACTCGGCTGTGTGAGTCCCGGCTCCCAAGCCGCTTCCTCACGCGGTCCCCGCTGCAGAGCCCGCCCAAGGCTCCCTGGGACACCCCAGGGTGCTGGGAGCCAGCCCCGCTGCTCACCAGGTAGTTGTCCCCATGCTTGGACTTGAGCATGCGCGTGACCTCCTGCAGGTTGCGCAGGTAGGACTCCTCGGAGCAGCCGGCGGGGAAGGACACGGCGATGATGCGCTCCGTGATGTAGGTGAGGTCGAGCTCGTGGCCCTCCTCCATGGCGGGGCTCAGGACGGCGGGCCTGCGAGAGAGGAGGAGCGCTGCTCAGCGAACAGGGCTAACGCACCGGAAAGAGGGAGAGGACATTCATCCTCTCCGGCTGTCACACGAGCACCTGAAGTGGCAGGCTACGGGAATCCACGGCTACATTCTCTACACTGCTTTCCAGTCACAGCAGGGCACGAGTCTAAATGTCCTTGCAGGGCATGACTGGGTACTGCAAGCTTCTAGCGGGGAACAAATAGAGAAAAAGCAGCTCAGAGAAGTGACGCAGGGGCTGGGACAGAAAAGCATGAGGGCGCAGGGTATCAGTGGAAGGGTTCCTTGCGGTTCCACCAGGAGCAAGAGTAGGGCTGAGACTGGACTCTTTGAGGGGAGCCTCAACCCCCCCCCACAGGTGGACTCTTTGAGGAGCCTTAACTCCCCCATCTCAAGGTGACAGGGCCAGCAAGAGGCAGCTGGGAGGAAGCGCATTCGGGCAGCGAGGATGGTGTGAGCAGAGGCACGGCCACCAGACAGCAGCAAGCAGCCGCTGGGCCAGGCACAGCCAAGGATAGGCTGCTGAGGGGGCCGGGCTGGTCGCAGAGGACCCAGAGGCCCAGGGAGCAAGGCAGGAGCCCACCCTGCAAAGGGATGAGCGGGGAATTTCAGCACTGTGTAATAAAAGTGGCATTTGGTTCACTGAAGTGGAGCTGGGCGGGTTTCTACCAGCAGGGCTAGCGCTCTGTGGGGCTCTGCGGGACCCCGCCTGGTTACCCACCATGGGGGGAAGTGAGGCAGGCTGCCTGAGCAGGTGGCTGGGGCAGGCACTCAGGAGTGAGACAAAGACACCTGGAGGGGGGAGGAGGGCAGAATTGGCCACGCCACACCCAGCAGGCCAGAGGGAGGACCTGGCAAGGCCTGGCTGTGTGGAGCCAGGTGCCCGGGGACTCCAGACAAGGGCCATCACACGTGCAGCTTCCCTGCAGTGCCCTGCGGGTCCCAGGGTGGCCTGACCCCCTCCCTGGAGGGTCCTAACATTAGGACTGAGAGTGTCCAGGATGAGATGGAAAAAGATCTGGGGAGAGGAGACAGGACAAACCCCAGCAATGACACCATGCGGTGAAGCAAGAGAGGACACAGCAGTTCACGGAGGCAGCTTTCAGTTCTGGTATAGTACTGCCACCAGCACTGGGGTTTATTGTCAGTGCTACCATGAGTTTCTCTCTCTCTCTCTCTCTGTCTGTCTCGATTTTAAAAAATCCAAAAACATAAAATGGGGTTTTGCACCGCCACGTACATCTCGCCCCCTTCGAGATGACCACCAGTGGCCACCCGCGCCCGCCAGCACCCAGAGAGCTCCACCACTGCGACCGCTCTAAGAGTCACAGACACGTCACTTCACTGACAATCCTGTAGCACTGATTCTAAAAGATAAGGACACTTCTTAATTAAAATAGCTATAAGCCCTTATCACACCTCACAAAGAAATAGATATAAATGTCTGATACCATAAATTTATTTTTACAGCTGATTTGTCAAATCAGGATCTAAACAATTCCCAGAGGTTTTTCTCTCTACCTTATTCATCAGGCATGGATGCAAAAGAGTTTTGATTATTCTAAAAATCTGAGTTTTCTGAACACTATTTTTAAAATACATGCTCTCCTATGTATGGCCACTGTGACCCACAGAGAGGACTCTCCGACAGACTGGCGTGCGGGCAGGGCGGGGTGCCTGCGGACACCTGCCGACAGGGGTGTCGCTGCAGCACACGCGGTCCACGCTGGACGCCCCCAAGCGCGGCGCTTACACCATCGGGCCACCTGCCGCGGTGGAGTTAGTTATCGAAAGCAATCGCATGCATTTCCACAATTGGGCTTCTGATGCCTAAGATTACATCTAGAAAATGGTATAAACCTGATATGTATCACCTTTGATTATTAATATTTAAAATCAAAACAGGAATCAAAATCGCTGCCGAATAAAATAACACCAGGCCCAGGGTTTCTCTGTGGAGAGCAGACGCACAGCCAGGGACACAGGAATGCGCGACGCTTGCACACTCACCTCGACGGCCGCTCACGGCAGGGCGGAGCGGACGGCGCGGAGCTCCTCGGCGCCTGTAACAACAAAACAGGGCATTCCAAAGTGTCCTTCCCTGCCAGCCTACGGGGCACGTCCACCACGGAGGGAACAGTGAAGCTGTCCCATTTAATCATAAATGGTAAGTCAAACATTGTCACTGCTGGCTCAGAAGTGACACATACATCATGTGTCTTCAGGTCCCAGATGACACGGTTCCGTGAGCCATCTCTCC